GGCAGATAAGGATGATTTGCTGTCCGAAATGACCAGTTATTCTTTCCTTTATGCGAGTATCAAACAGTCGGTGTAAACTAGGCTTTATGACTAATTTAGACGTTAGACGTGGCCGTATTGGATCCGGATGGAGCCAGGAGCCAAACAAATATAGATAGGCTAATGTCTATCTACGTCGACAGAAACGAGGTTTGTTCGTGTCGCCTGCACTTGTTGCACTCGGAATCTTTGTTTTTTTTCTCTCCAACGCGTCCAATGTATATTTATCTCATATTAAAATGTAGAAAGTTTTTAGAATTTCAAGCAACACGAACAAGTCTATGGGCAATGTAGCTCGAACCTCGACACGCGTGTGCGAGTGATTTACTAGAGTCCAGTGATTTCGCGTTTCGCAGGTTACGGGCGCGTAAAGTCACCAGGTTGGTAGTGTCGAACCGAACCGAACCGAACCGAACAGAACAGAACGCAGAAAGAGCTCGAAGGTGGAGGCGGGGAGAGTGGACGTCTCTCGATATTTTGCATAACAATCTCCCGACCCGATGTGGATTTTTCTCAGGACACGCACACGTGGGTATCGCGTGCAGAGTGTCGTGTTACGTCATCGTCGTCGTCGCCGCCGACGTTAGCACAGGACGGGAGGTCGCGCGAGGAATAGAGACGGTACACGTACACGCATCGGGTCTCGCTGTTTTCGTCACGGCGAACCTCGCGCTCGCCCCGACTCAACGGTTCTGTGAAACGCCAACGCTCCGTGTATCGCGACCCGATGATCGTCGACAATCGTACGAGTTCGTCGCTTCTTTCGAGAGTGATAAAGGGAGAAGAAGCGCGGAGAACTGACGTGTCGTGTCGCGCGATGTGTCGTATCGTGTCACGTCGTGTCATTGAACGATCGTTCCGGCCTCGCGCCAAATTAACGAACACGCGATTATTCGAGCCTCGATCAAGAGGTCTCGCGGAGAACCCACGTCACGCGGTTTGTTTGGTTGCTTTTTTTTTCTTTTCGTAGTATGAACTTATCCGCGTATCTCTGCTCGTCGATCTTCGTCGGTCCGAATGATCTCGGGCAAATGAGAGAAGATCGGACGCTTCTTCCTCAGTTTCACGCGACTACCGGGTCCGACGTGAGTCCGAGAATTTTTATCGCTCAAAGGGACTTGCAGACATCCCGCGAAAACAGTCTGTTATTTGTAATCGCAACTTAGAAAACTGAGTTCTTGAATTTTTGTCGAGAGAGAAGGAAATGCCTCTCTTTCTCTCTCTCTCTCTCGTCAAAATCTCGTAAACAATCGGTCCAGGTCGAACGTACAAAATATTACAAGATAAAATATATCTCTATGAAAAAAACATTGAATAATGTTTGATGAGAAATCACAGATGTCTCCTGTATTTTCAGCGATAGAAGGTCACCTCTGATTTGCTCGTGACACGTGGCTTTCCCTAAAATACCAAACATGACGGAGGACATGTTGGGTGCGGACATCTGCAGGGTCTGCCGGTCCGAGGGCCTCGTCGACAGACCTCTGTTTCATCCCTGCATATGCACCGGCAGCATCAAATGGATTCACCAGGAGTGCCTGGTACAGTGGATGCGCTACTCGCGCAAGGAGTACTGCGAGCTCTGCGGTTACCGCTTTTCGTTTACGCCTATATACAGCCCGGACATGCCGCGGCGCTTGCCGCTGAGAGACGTCGTCGGCGGCTTGTTCTCGAGCATCGTCACCGCTGTCAAGTACTGGTTACATTACACGCTGGTGGCGATTGCGTGGCTGGGAGTCGTCCCTTTAACCGCGTGCCGCACGTACAGAGCTCTCTTCAGTGGTCCGCTGGATTTAGTTCGGGTGAGTGGGAGAGAGACGTGATAAATTCAATTCCGGAAAAGTTTTCGATTAAAGATTTATAAATTGCTAATGATTTGGTGTATAAACAAAGGTGAAGAGTCCGCGGATATAAGTAAAAAATAATAAAAATAAGACTATGAGGGTTGGACGTAGGTGGTCGCACGCATGTAATGTTTAATGGTTTATATTTGCAGATAATGTCATTACCGATGGATATGCTCTCCACCGAAAATATATCGTCGGACGTGTTTCACGGCTGTTTCGTAGTTACCTGCACCTTATTCGCGTTCATCGGTCTGGTGTGGCTGCGCGAGCAAATTCTACACGCGGGCGGCCCTGATTGGCTCGAGAGGGATATACAGTTACCCCCGGTCGACAATCCGCCACAAGCAAACGCACAACGCCCGCAGCAACCTCAGGAGCAGCGTGCTATGCCGCAAGAAGTCCAGGACAACAATAATATCCCTCCCTTCATTGATCCGCCTATTCCGCAGGAAGGAGAGTTACATAATGAAGGTGATCCGACGACAAGTTAGACTTTTATGCCTTGGAAAGCGATAAAGTTGCAATAACGCTACAGATTTGACTGTAACGTAAACTAATAATTCCTTTCGATTAAATTACATCGTAGATCAACGTCCGATATATCGAGAAGCGGCAGAAAACTTGGTCAATAATCCACGAATTGGCGAACCCGAGGATCTAGCAAGGGACATACAGGCACCGGCTCCTCCCGGACCGCCTCTTCCAATCAGGGACGAGCTCGGCGTGGACGGTGGACAGGCGAATGCCGCGGGTGGCGAGCGCTGGGCGAGAGGACACGCGGTACAGGCGCATGTGGTAGGGCAGGCGCAGGGTGAGGCTGAGGAGGCTAATTGGAATCCTATGGAGTGGGACAGACCAGCTGAAGAGCTAACCTGGGAACGTCTCTTAGGATTGGACGGGTCTCTTGTCTTTCTTGAACATGTCTTCTGGGTCGTGTCCCTAAACACCTTGTTTATCATGGTGAGATTACGACTAGATGTGTTAATTAATAAATGTGTAATTTTTTTAAATAGTGGCACTTCGCAAGGCTAGTGTCTCCTGTTCTTTTATCATTTTCTTTTATCTTTTTCAGGTGTTCGCCTTTTGCCCGTATCACATCGGCCATTTTACGATAGCGGGACTGGGCCTGCAGGAGCACGCGGCCGCATCGCACTTCGAGGGCCTGGTGACCACGCTGTGCGGTTACTGCGTGATCGGAGTTTGCCTGGTGGTTCTCCATACTCTCGCCGCACTGTTAGGTTTCCAGCGCTCCCAGCGAATCCTAGGGCTCTGCTACGTAATTGTCAAGGTCTCCTTGCTCTCTGTCGTGGAGATCGGCGTACTTCCATTAGTCTGCGGCTGGTGGTTGGACATCTGTTCGTTGGCGATGTTCGACGCTACGCTCAGAGATAGAGAATCCTCATTCAGACTCGCTCCCGGCACGTCTATGTTCATCCATTGGCTGGTGGGGATGGTTTACATATATTATTTCGCGTCGTTCATCCTCCTCTTGCGCGAGGTCCTGCGCCCCGGGGTTCTCTGGTTCCTGCGAAATCTGAACGATCCTGATTTTTCTCCTATACAAGAAATGATACATCTTCCCATATTGCGACACGTACGTCGACTGGTCGCGTCCGCGATTATATTCGGCACGGCAATCTTGCTGATGTTGTGGCTGCCAGTGAAAATCCTGAGATGGGCATGGCCAGGATTTTTACCCTACACCGTCACCGTACAAAGCGAGGCCCAGGTAAGAAAAGCAGCGGTAATGTTCATTACTTTATACCTTCCTGTTGCGGCGATTACATAACATGTACTCTTCAAATTTTAGGTCAGCGAGCTTTCGTTGGAGTTGCTTCTGTTGCAAGTGATCCTCCCCGCGTTATTGGAGCAGTCGCACACGCGCACATGGCTGAAAGCTCTAGTGAGAGCGTGGTGTCGCGTGGTAGCGTGGATGCTGGACCTGCAGTCGTATCTTCTGCGGGATCAGACGGACGATCCGGGACCAGCGGTGATCGAGGAGCCGCAACATCCGGACTTGGGCGCCGCGCATCAAGCGCTGCTGCAAAGGGAGGGACCCACGGGATTTCAACCTTATGTCAGACCGCGATGGTTCCCTGCGAGATTGGTCGGGCTTCTGTTTTGCGTCTGCGTGTCCCTCGTGATCGCCAGTCTAGTCGCTATGACGCTGCCCGTGTGGCTCGGACGCAGAGTGATGGCATTATGGATGGTAGGGGCTCCCGCTCCGTCGCCGCCCGTGTTACCGCCCACATTAACCGGATCCGGTGAGTTCTTGTAGAACAGTAGAAAAAATCTTTCTTGTAAACCTTTCAAGAAGGAATATTACGGATCCTATGAAACGTATTTATTTTCTAGGATTTTTATCGACCATGCTTTTTATTTTAGACGGTGGCGAAACTGTTGGTCCTCTATCCGGAAGAGTACACGAAGTATATACGATAGCCTGCGGGACGTACGTATGTTGGGCCGCAGCTCGAGGCTTGGCGTTGGCGTTCTCCTGGCTACCCCGCGGCCGCAGAGCCATCATAGACAGGATCAAACATTGGGCGATCTTGGCCGTGAAAGCCTCTGTGGCGTTTGTGCTGTTCGTCGGGGTTATACCGCTCCTGTTCGGTCTTCTTCTCGAGTTAGTAGTGGTGGTCCCATTGCGTGTCCCGTTAGAACAAAATCCCATTTTATTCATCTGGCAAGATTGGGCCTTGGGCGTGCTGTACACGAAGATAGCTACCGCCGTAACGATGATGGGACCGGATTGGCGAATACGTCTCGCCATCGAGCGGGCGTACAACGAGGGAATAAGGGAAATGGATTTGAAGTTTGTCATCAGGAAATTAGCGGCTCCCGTTATATGTTGCTTCGGCCTCGCCCTTGCGATTCCTTATGCCGTGGCCTACGGAATAGTTCCACTACTCGTGACTAATCTGCAGACCCAGATTCTTATCGCCAGACGTCTATATCCTTTCCTTCTTTTAATAAGTCTGGTCTGCGCAGTGATTTGCTTTCAGATACGCCAGTTCAAGAAGCTGTACGAGCATATTAAGAACGACAAGTATCTTGTGGGGCAAAGGCTCGTGAATTATGAGCATCGTAACAAATCGCAAACCCAGCAGCATCAATCGCAGAGATCGAGCTAACGATGTCAGTAGGCATAACATTGTTACGGGCGGAAAACGGATTAGAATTAGCTTCGTGTACATTCTTTAATAAATACTTACTGATTGATAATTTATATTATATATATACATATATATACATATATATAGTCATGGTTTTATTTTTAATATTATAATTTATTGATGTAAAGCGATACCGAATAAATCGAAGACTGTTATCCAGTGTCGCTTTTCAATCCGATGCTTCATAGTTTTTAACATCATATGTACATCAGTCTTGATTAACAAGTAATGAACAAGATTTCAATCTCATCATTTGCAGCAACGAAGGATGACTATGGTCATAGAACTGTGGTAAACATGTTGAGAAATACAATTTTATTCTCTGCTAGACAACTTGGAAATTCTGATGTAGTCCGATCTGTGCCTATTCTATCATTTCTTAACGTAGCTGTATTTTTAATGTCGCTAACATGTTATTACGTAAATATAAAAACTGTTATAAAATTGCGTAAAACAAAGGTAACATTAAGCGATCGAGATCGTTAGGAAGTCATAGAATAGACAGAAAGTATAAGCTAAATGTTACAGACATAAATGCACGGAATAACATCTCTCGATAATTCTTTTAGATCTTAGCAAGAAGGATTAAGAGAAAAAAAAAGGAAATATGAAAGTACATTGTGGTTATTGTTATCTAATATAGAACATAACTTCGATCTCTATGTAATAGAATTATGTAAATCTGTATACATTTGATTTGCGGCTGGATTTGATGTAATCAAATATTTTTACTATAGCCTCAAATATTTGCAAATCTCAATTAAAGTTTCGTATACGGGTTGTACCTAATTACACTTTTATTTTTGTTCATGAGAATCGATTATTTCTAATATTTATGCATAAATTACATGTAGATACCCAATGATATGGTATGTACATGCATATGAAACATATTTACAATAAACTAATATTTTATAATTAAATGATATATTGTCTGCAATATGGCATATATGTACATATTTTCATATTTGTTCATATATAACAATGCACTAAAAAGTTGTATAAATTACATTCTTTAAAAAATCATTATTATATACTTTTCGTAATACACATTCACATTATTTACTAAAAATATGATAAATTGGTAAATATATCGATGAAGGGAGCCAGCCCGATGACCTTGACCTTGACA